AACACAGTACAATAAACCCTTTATAATAAACACTTCTCTACAGAAGGAAAAGAAGCAAGCCCTCCTCCTCCTTCTCCTTTTTCTCCCCCTCTTTCCCTGCACGATCTTCTGATGCCTTCAGCTTGCACAACCTCAAACCTTAGGAAAGGAAGCAAGTCCTCCTCCTCCTCCTTTTCCCCTTCCTCCTCCCCTGCTCATGCAGTGAAGGAAAGAAAAGAAGCAAGCCATCTTCCTCCTCCTCCTCCTTTCCCCCTTTCTCTTTCCCCGTGTGATCTTCTGATGCCTTCAGCTTGAACAATTCTGAACCTTTGGAAAGGAAATATGCCCTCTTCCTCCTACTTTCCCCCATCCTCCTTCCCTGCGAAACAGCGAGTCCGCAGAAAGCGAACTGCAAAGTACTGAGGGAACACTGTACCTCTTTGGTGTGGGAGGAACTTCAAGCACAGGACTCCATTTTTGTTATGCAGTACGCTTTTATAACTTAATGGAGGTGGATGTAGTTTGTCTCTTTTCAGGCCTCAGTGAGTACAGTTATACAGTTTGGCCTATATCTATATACCTTGGGAAGTCTGACTTGGCCACGGTAGTCTACGCACTGGTTACATCCCGTATAGATTACTGCAACGCTCTCTACGTGGGGTTGCCTTTGAAGACGGCTCGGAAGCTACAAATGGTCCAACGATCGGCAGCCAGGTTGTTAACAGGAGCGGCACTCAGGGAGCACACCACTCCTCTGTTGCGCCAGCTCCACTGGCTGCCAATTTGCTACCGGGCACAATTCAAAGTGCTGGCTTTAGCCTTTAAAGCCCTAAACGGTTCTGGCCCGACCTATCTGTCCGAACGCATCACCCCTATGAACCAGTTAGGACATTAAGATCGTCCGGGGAGGCCCTGCTCTCGATCCCGCCAGCCTCACAAGCACAGCTGACGGGGACGAGAGACAGGGCCTTCTCAGTGGTGGCCCCTCGGCTGTGGAACGCCCTTCCCGCAGACGTTAGGTCGGCCCCCTCCCTGCTGGCGTTCAGGAGAAGAGTGAAGACCTGGCTCTTTGAACAGGCGTTCAATTAAGCAGTGCAATCAATTGACTGAGTTTGGAACTTGGAATTTGGAACTTGGAATAATGGACAAGGAGATCGGATTATGACTTTACTGATGAGACGTGTTGGATTAGTTATATGGATGTATTGATGTCATGTTGATTTACTGATGTATTGTTGTATTGTTTTAGTTGCTTTAGTTATTGTTTAAATGTTAATGCTAATGCTGTGCACCTTGTATATTGACCTGTTGTAAACCGCACTGAGTCGCCTGCGGGCTGAGATAGTGCGGTATACAAATAAAGTAAATAAATAAATAAATAAATAAATATATGCTTAAAGACATTGGACTATGGATTAATATGTTGAGTATATACAAGAAGTTTGTTAGTAAACTTGAGATGTTTTTTTTAAAAAAAGACTACATTGTTTTTGTCTCTTGAGTGCATATTTTAAACAAGAGGTTTTTAAGGGAGAGTACTTGAGCAACGTCAACTTCAAAGAAACAACCATCTTCTGCTAACCAAATATATATTTGTAGTGGCATGTCTTTATCCTTGGCAGTTTAAAGACATGGTTCTTCAGTTTAACAGCTGAATTACCTGTGTGCCATTATAGGAATGCTTATGAATATCACTTGTTCAAAGGGCTGACTTCTAACAAGGTCATGCTTTTCTTGACTAGTGGTTTCCAAAAGGTGGTCTCCACATGTTCATGGAGATTAATATTTGCCAAACGGATGTGACATCATTTTTACCTTTTCAATAAGGTATGGTGCACTTATTTTCAATAGATTATGGATTTTCCAATAACTGTATCTTGAAAAATAAATTTGGCAGCAAACGTACAATCTCTAAAGTAGAAATAGTCGCCTTCGGGCTTGAGATACAGCGGTATATAAGCAAAGTAAATAAATAGAAGGAACTAGAGTTAAAAATATAGAGCCTGTGTATATGCAATGCATGCTCCCCATTTATATAGATGGTTTCATAGAACTGAAGTCTCAGGAATGGATCCTATGATATCTTTCTTGTGGAAAAGCTATTGTGCACATATTGCTATAATAATGTGAGATAGGAGTCAAACTAAATATTAAAATCAGATATAAGCAAAGGTGAGAAGTGTCAAAGGATCTAATATATAATAAAACAACATGATCTTGTCTATATACATTTGCATAACAGAGTGAGCATCAATTTTGCTTCTGCTCTTGATTTTTATTATCTAAACCAGGCATCCTCAAACTGCAGCCCTCCAGGTGTTTGGGCCTCCAACTCCCAGAAGGCCCAATGAGCTTGTTCAATTGTCAGGCATTCTGGGAGTTGAAGGCCCAAACAGCTGGAGGGCTGCAGTTTGAGGATGCCTGATCAAAGCCATGGCAAGAGCCCGGAAACAGTCACAAGTTCACAACAACTGTCACTAAAATATAGTAAATCACTACTGCAAAGTTCTTTGTGGAAATCTATTTCAAATTTGAACCTGTGTCTTATGATTCTTATGTTTATAATGTTTGAACATTGAATTATGACTCTGAATACCAGGGTTCAAATCCCTGCTCAGCTATGGAAGTCCACTGGGATGACCTTGGGCAAGTCATGCTCCCTTAGCCATGGAAAAAAACAAAGGCAAACCCACACTGAACACATATTGCCAAGAAAATCCTGTGATAGGTTTGTCTATAACCATAAGCCAGAATTGACTGAAGGAACACAACAACAACAACATACTGAATACATAATGAAACATTCCCTCATTCTCAAAATCCACAACAATACATAAACATCATTTCCTGCTTTTCCTCCTACCTGCAGGAATAACTGAAGAATCAGATGAAGAGTTTTCTTTTTTGCAAATGTATCCAAGTTTCTGATCACATTTGTAGTTTGCCCAGTTACCATTCTTAGACTGCATTGATCCACATAGTTTTTCTGATTCTGGAGATGGACTACCTTTAAAAAAAATAAAGAGGAAGAGGAACCAAATCAACCCATTTTAACATACCTATACCTGAAACATGCAAATATTCTCCAATTAGTTCTCATTTATTATTGCTTAGTGGCATTTCAAGATCACAGTCTATCAATCACACTTTGGAAAAAACACATGTTAAATTCAATATGTTGGTTCTAAGTAATTCATTTACGATCCCCACCCCCATGATTCAAAGACATTATCCTTCCTAGTAATAGCTCATAATTTTTGTACGAATTGAATACAGAGGTTTCATTATATTCATAGGAAGACTTTTAGGGCACAAACAACTTTGAGGATGAGTTTCTTCTGTCTTTATCATCAACCATTGATTGGAAAGTAGAGGTAGGAGCTATTTAATGCCTGGTGTTACATAAAATAAGCTCAAATTTGGACAAATTTTGTATGGTACAGCAGCTCATGTTTTGCAGACTGACAAGCTGACGAGGTTTTGAAGAACACAGAAGCACTGGCGGACAAAGTTTTCAAAGGCACATGAGATCTAATTGGCAGGCTGACAATGTTCTGCATTCCTGGAAATATTTGCACTGATGTAAATTGCTATGATGTACATCCTGGATTTTGGAGGGGCCCAAAACAAAATGTGGCAACATGTCATATCTGTAAATCTCAGTGTTTCTCAAAAATTTAATACAACAAATGAACTTTGCTGGAGTTTGACCGTTGAATCATGCTGGAGGACCTACAAATGCCAAGGAAAGTCCTCTCTCTATGAATCTCTACATCAGTGGTTCTCAACCTGTGATTCCCCAGATGTTTTGGCCTTCAACTCCCAGGAATCCTTACAGCTGGTAAACTGGCTGGGATTTCTAGGAGTTGAAGGCCAAAACACCTTCGGACCCACAGGTTGAGAACCACTGCTCTAAGTTATAATGGGTGACTTTATTACAGACGTTGGCCATAGAGTCACAAAGAAGACCTAGAGATTCCTATACCTGGGACCGAAGACTGGAGACCTCAGTACACTCCTTCTATACCTGGGACATCGTCCTCTTCCACTGAGCATGCAGCTTCGGGAGGGATGCACATGGAGCGGTGAGGGAGGAAGGGGACACCCGCCTAGCCAGCCAGATCAACCGAATCAACCCTGGCGATCAATGGGGGTGACAGATGTCACAGCCAGATCGCCCTCACATCCTAGAGATTCCTATAGAGAATACCCAAATCAAGAAAAGTGAAGCCTGCTAATGGGTAGAGCTGATTGTATACAGCTGTTATATTCTATCTGGACAGCACTTGCATTATTTCAAAAATTGTGGCACAGCCCACAAATCCTCTTTATTTGCAATAAACCCCACTCTGGTGGTTGGGGTTTCTAGCTGAATCTTTACAAAATGCTCATATTTTTCAGTGTTTAATTACCACAGTCACTTACCTGAAGCCCAGTTTAAATATCGGAAAGGATGGTTACCAGCCCATTCCCATCCACTGTCAAGATCCAAACTGTTCAGCCCTATCCAGTAATCAGTGTTGATATCACTTGTTAATCCTGTCAACAGAGAAGAAAATTACTTGTATTTTACACCACCAGGGTCCTTGCACTTGTGGGGCTTAATACTGTTATACCTGTCAGGTATGTTTGTTCATGTAGCTCATTGATGCTCAGTAATTCTGCATTCTGTTGCTGACAACTTTTTCTGGCTTGGAACCATGTCAGAGCTGAATGGGAGTTGATCTGGTAGAAGTCTCCTGTCCAATGGTTTTTAGTCCAGAGGAATTCATCATGGTCACCTGTAAGTATTGTAAACACAACGGTAAAATGATGAAATCATCAGTTAGGAAGCTAAATCTAAAAGTGAGCCTTTAAAAAACCCATTATCTTATTAATTTTTTAAAAAATCACTATACACAGAGACAGAAGTCTGTGCCTTATTTTCATGAATGATCTCTGTAACATAGAAGTAATTCAGAATTTCTCTTTAGTATTAATTTTCATATAAATTTAATTAGTGACACCTCTAATTTCTGTATACTTACAAATTCCTGTCAATCTTTAAAAAAATCCTGCTTTAAAAAAATCCTACAAACTTCACCCTGCAACTCCACAAAACCTACAGGATGTAAAAACCCACTAAATCTTTTGCTTCCAGAATGATAGACATTTGCTGTAAAGTTTTCTTTTAGAGGCATGTGGTCAATTCTCACAAAGAGGAAGTCCTGTGTACTAGGAACATCCTGAACACTGTCAGAGTACAAATCTTAATGTACAGAAAAATATTTTTGTCCAAACATTCAGCTTGAAATTTGCATTACATGCAAGTGAGAACTTTAAAGTGGGTGTCTACAGAGAGATTCAGTGGTGGATAATAATTGAAAACTTGAAATACTACCCAACACTTTTGTTTTGACAGGGACATTTCTTTAAAAGCACCTTCCTTTCTTAGCTGCTTTTACAGTGCCTTGGTTTTTCTTCCTGCCTCCCCCTCTAATTTCCCAGCTTCAAACTGTAGTTTTGAGTATTCTTTACTTTAGTTGCTAGAATATGAGTTCAAAGTGCAAAAGTAGTTTACACTAACTCAGCAGAGGGAAGGTAGAGTTTTGCTTTTTGTGAACATAGGGTATCAAGGATTTCCCAGCTTCAAATGGTAGTTTGTGTATTCTTCCACCTTAATAACATTTGCCTGCAAGCATGTAGAGACCAGTATTATTTTTCTGCTGAAACAAACGTGCTTTTTAGTACCTATTTCCACTCCTGTTGTTGCTTAGCCAAAACGTTTGATCACATTCTGATCTGACTTGTCCTAGTTTTCATCTGTGAAATGTCATATTCTAGAAAATATTGGTGGTTTTCAATGAAGCGATTTACACCGATTAAGCATCAAAATTGTGAGAAGTCATGCTTGTAATATTATATAGTAAACTATAATAGATTTTGACTACCCAATTACTGTAATGCAGATTACCTAGGACTGCTTTGGAAACAGTTAAGTATTAGGCCTGTGCGGTTTCGTTCGTTAATTTCGTAATTCGTTATTAAT